GTCTTCGTTATTCTGGCTTTATAGTGAGTTTTCACATTGGGAAGTGTACGTCTCCCCACTTGGTTTTCCTTCTAGAAATTGTTTTGGCTATTGCATCACTGATAAATTGCAGGATCAGATTGTGAATTTGTACAAAGAATCCTTCCTGCAGGGATTTTGATGGGGAATGAATTAAATCTATCAATCAATTGAAAAAGAATTTTCATCTTAACAATATTGAATCTCTCCATTTATTGAGATCTTTAATTTCTCTCAGAAAGTTTGTGTAGTTTTCAGTGCACAAATCTTACACTTCTTTGTTAAATTTCTAAGTATTTTTTCTTTTTTGATGCTATGGCGAATAAAACTGTTTTCTTAATTTCATGTTTATGAATATGACTGTTCACTACCAATATACAAAAGCTACAGTTGACTTTTATACAAGATCTTGCATTCTGAGACCTTGATAAATCATTGATCAGTTCAGTTAGTGTTTTCATAGATTCCTTCAGGTTTTCTACATATAGGAGGTCATCATTAATACAAACAATTTTTTCTTTACTGCACTGTCCCAAACCTTCAGTACAGTGATGACTACAGGGCTAAGAGTGAACATTCTTGTGTCTCTCCCAACCTTAGGAGGAAAGGTGTTCAATGTCACCATTAAGTACATTGTTAGCTATAGGTTTTTCACAGATGCCTTTATAAGGCTGAGGAGGTTCCCTTCTATTACTAGTTTGCTGAGAGTTTTTATCACTAAGAGATGCCAAATTTCGTCTAATGGTTTTTCAGTACCTACATGATCATGTACTTTTGTCTTTTACTTTATTAATAGAATATATTCCATTAACTTACACATGTTAAACCAACTCAGTTGATCACGGTGTGTTGCCTTCTATATGTCACCAAATTTGGTTTGCTAATTTTGTGTTACAGATCTGTATTCATGAGGAGCACTGATCTGTATGTACTCTTCTTACAGTTTTTTTGTCTGGCATTAATACCAGGGTAACCCATCTTACAGAATAAATTAGGAGTTATTCCTCTTCCTTTACTTGCTAAAAATATTTCTTCTTTAAGTATGTGATGGAATTCATCAGTAAAGCCAGTTAAGCCTGGGCTTTTCTTGTGGCAAGATTTTTATTTACTACTTATATTTATTTACTTTTTATGAGTATATTCAGATTTTCCACTTATTCTTGAGTCAATATTCCTAATTTGTGTTGTTCTGATAATTTGTCCCTTTCATCAAAATTGCCTAAATTCTGGCATAAATTTATTCATAACATGAATAATATACAATGCTTTTAGTTTCCATAGGATCAGTAAGAATATCCTTTCTTACATTTTAAATTTTGACAATTTGTACCTTTTTTCTTATTTTCTTAGTCCAACTAGAGGTTTGTCACTTTTGTTGATGTTTTCAAAGAACCAACCTTGATTTTCTCTGTTGTTTTTGTTTTCTACCTCATTGATTCCCACACTGAACTTTATCATATGCTTCCTTCTGCTCCCTTTGGGTGTGGTTTGCTCTTCTTTTTCTACTTTCTTAACATGGAAGCTTAGGTTATTGATTTAAGACCTTTCTTCCTTTCTGATATGAGTGTTTACACCTATAATTTTTGCTCTGTGCAATATGTAGCTGCATCCCATAAATTTTGACATAGGTTTTTGTTTTCATTTGGTTCAAAATATTTTCAATTCCTCCTGTGAGTTCTTTTTTGCTTCACAGGCAATTTAGAATGTTATTTAATTTCCAAATAAATGGGGTTTGCTAGGTTTTTCTCTGTTGTGAATTTCTAATTTAATTCTGCTTATGATCAGAGAAGATACTTAACATGACTTCAATCTTTTAAAATTTGAGACTTGTTTTGTGACCCAGCATAACAGGTGTCCTGGAGAATGTTCCATAAGTGCTTGAGAAGAATATTCACTCTGTGGTCAATCGGTGAGGCATCATATAAATGCCAGTTACGTCACGTTGGTTGAGAGTGTTATCGGGAGTCATCTATGTCTTTCTATAACCTTGCCTTTCTACCTAGTTGTTCTGGATAGGAACTCTCAACTCTCAGAAGTTGAGAGTGCCGTATTGGAATCTTAAACTATTATTGCTTTCCCCTTCTATTCTGTCACTTTTTGTTTCATATAATTTGGGCTGCTGATGTTAAGTGTGTACACATTTATAACTGTTGTATCTTCCTAATGCATTAACCCTTTAATCATTATTAAATGTCCCTGTTTTTCTCCAGTAATACTTCTCGTCATAAAGTCCATTTCACTTGATTTTGATACAGTCACTCCAGCCAGCTCTCTCGTGGCTGCTGTTTGCACAGTTATCCACCCTTTTACTTTGAGCCTGACTGTGCCTTTGAACCTAAGGCACGTCTCTTCTAGACAGCATGCAGTTGGGTCTTACTTTTTTATCCGGTCTGACAATCTCTGACTTTTAAGTAGGGTGTTTAATGTATTTACCTTTAAATGTAATTAACTATTGACACGGCTGCTAGAAATGAATATGCCAGTCTTTCAATGGGAATATCTTTATTTCTGGTTCGTATCACATCTTTGCTGTACATAGAACTCCTGGTTGGAGATTTTTCTTTCAGCATGTGGAATGTGTTATTTTTCCATTCTTTTCCACAATCTTTCCCTTGTGAGAAGTCATCCATTAATCCTATTTTTTTTCCTATCCCTCTTTCTTCTTCTAGAATTCTTAATATATGTGTGTTGCTGGGCTTAATGTTGCCCCACACGTCTCTAAACTCTGTTTCTATTTCTCTAATTTAAAAAAAGAAGTCTTTTCTTTAGATTCAATTATTTTTTTTGTTTTACTTCCTGGTTCACTTATTTTTTTTCTTCTGCCTTCTCAGATCTGTTATTGAATTCCTCTAGAGAATTTTTTATTTCACTTCAGTTATTATACTTTTCAACTCCAGATTTCCCATTTCATTCTCTTTTTAAAAATCATTTCTATCTCTTTATTGAGATTCTGTATTCATTGAGACTTTCTTTGAATTCTTTAAACATGGTTTCCTTTATATCTCTGAGCATATTTAAATAGCTTCACTATAGTCTTTTTCTGCTAAGTTCCAAATATGGGGACACTCAGACACAGTTCTTACTTATCACTTTTTTCCTGTGCATAAATCATGCTTTCTTGTTTTCTGAATGCCTCTAATTTTTTTGTTGAATACTGGACAGTTAAAAAAAATACTCTGGATTCTAATTTTTCTCCCAGAGCATTGATGTTGGTGTCATTTTGCTTGTTTAGCAGTTTGCCTGGACTAAATATGTAAAATCTCTCTCCCATAAAAGGTACAGTTGCTGAGGTCTTCACCCATCTTTTTCCTTGTTTTTATTTTAAGCCTGCTTTCCTGGGGGTCATCCCCATAATCTGCAGAGTTTAGTGTTCTGGGGAAGGCTAGTCAGGGGTTTTGCTCACACACCTTGAGCCGGAAAGACTTCTCTCTGCTCTTACTATGTGTGGATGGGATCACATTAGAATTTCAGGGGGTTTTCTTGTCTGCCCCAGCCTTCACTTTCTGCGGGCTCCCTCACACCTCCTCCCTGTGCACACACAGGCCTCGTGGGCCAAAGGTGTGGACGTCTTTGGTGTACTCTATCTCTGCTGCTTGTACACACAGACTAAACTCAGTCTGGAATACATGGAGAGTTATCAAGCTCTCTCATCTCCGAGAACTACCTGTTAAGTCCCCAGCTATGGACTTAACCACAGGTCCATTGCTTGTCCCAAAAAGGGATATAAATTCAAAACAGTGGAGCTACTGGCTCTTCCTGTTCATTTACCACTGGTGTGACCACTGAAAATACTCCAAATGGAGTCTCCTGGAAGCACCGACAAGGGTGCTGGTGTCCACAGCCTGCCCTGCTCTGGTTAAACATCGCACTGGCAGAGCTGGGGAGGAGGGACCGGAAGCAACCTTAGGCAAGAATGCCACCAACTCATGCTGTTCCTACCCAAAGCTTAGAAGTTTTCATGAACAAATAACTGCTTCTCAGACTGGTATGTGCCTTTGGTCAGTTTCTAGAGAGCTAAAATGGATCTATTTGACAGCTTTTGTCTAGCCTTCTAGTTGATTTGGGGGGAGAAGATTTGTCACCCAACTAATCCATCATCCTGTAAGTCAGCATCTCAGCCACTCTTCATGTTCTGCCTGAATTAGGGTTATTTTAAAAAGTAGACCATGCAGGTGAAAATATCACTGTGAAATCTCATTTTCAAAGAGGAATGTTTGCCTTTGCTTTCCGGGGTGGAAAATCAACCACAAACATAAAGGCGCAAGTTTAAATGATTATTTCATTAGATTAAATTAATTAAGAAATACCACCCATCGAAAGCAGCACCTAGGGGCCCTGCGACTTGACTCCTTCACGGGCGTTAGAAGAATGATGTGCTCCAGGGAGGAGCCAGCCCCAGGCATCTCAGCTAAGATCACCTTGCCACAGCTGCCTCACTGCTGCTTCTGTTTCTTCTTATTTCCCCACCATTTCCTTATGCTTCGACCAGGGTCAGTCAGATACGCAATGGGCATTCTTACAATAGGCCCATTTTTGAAGTCCTCAGCAAAGTCCCCCAAACTGGCCATTTGCCTGTTTTCCTTTCTCTCCCACTCTGATGGGCTGAGGTCTCTTGGGCAGGTCAGTGGAGTTCGGAACATCCTCACAGCTCCCGGGAAAGAACGTAAGAACTGCCCCGTGCGTCCAGGGGTGCAGTCTCTCAGAACTGGAGGAGCTTTAGGGATTTTTCTTTGGCAAAAACCTCTCATGTTCAGATGTGGAAATGAAGGCTCAGGAAAGTTAAGGGGCTTCTGCAGGTCACCTTCCAGGAGCATGACAACAAAGGTCTCGGAAATTGTTGGCTGAATGAGTGAGGATCGGGCTGAGAGCCAGTGACGAGAAGTGATTTCATGAAGACCAACCCTGCCATGGCACAGGCTCTGAGGACACGGGACACAGAGGCCCCTGAGTTCATCTTCCCCACCCCACCCCCTCGCTCTTACCTTAGCAAAGAAAATCCAGGCTGCGCACTGCCCCGGGGCCATGAGCCTTTTTAGCTTCGCTGTGCTGAACATGAGAAAGAATCCTAAAACCCCACTGGAAGGAGAAAGTAGTTTTTTGTTAGTGAGGCTTGTTGTCTTCTCTGAGCCAATAGGTAACTGTTTTCTGTTATTTTACCAGTCCATTTCTAATTGTTACACATCTATTTCATCAGTGGTTTATAGTGATCTATAGATAAAAACACTTCAAACTTAAAAACCCATTAAGCTCTACTTTTCTAAGAAGCTGTGATGAGAGCATTGTACTAAAGGTGGGGGAGAGCATAGAACTTTTTTTTTAAATGTGGGGGACAATAATTATGGAGCTTGCTGCTTGCCAAGGTAGAGCTTCAATTTTTTTCAAGCAGAACAAACTGCCAGGAAGAGAATCCCACAGGGAAATTCACTGTATGAGGACAGAGGGCCTAGCTGTACCTGCCCCTGGGTTCCAGGGGAAAATCTGAAAGGGGAGGGCAGCCCCAGTAACAGAAGTTCCCCAAACCAGGCCTACCCACCCAGAAACTGCACTTTGGAAATGATGTCTACACCCAGGTGTGTGGCCTGAAGGAGCCCCCACCCGGGGGCCTGAGGCTGGAGCAGCGTCTCGGGGACCATACAGTGGTCTGCACCAGCAAGGCACTGATGCGGCAGTGGACAGGGAAATGGTGGCCTGTCACCATTTTCAAAAGTGGCATTGTGTGGCCAAGGTCAAAGCTAAGGGAACTCCAGCCAGAATGGTCACTCTTCCTGACGTTCGGAGGCATGGTGATTGGAGAAGAAAGTATGGCAGAGAGACTCCATGAGAGAAGCTGACCTCCTGTGTGTAACTTTTACGTGGAATTTAAAATTGAAAAGCAAGAGTCCCAACTGGTGTGGCTCAGTGAGTTGGTGTCACCCCGCAGATCAAAAGATCACTGGTTTGATCCCGGTCAGGGCACATGCCTGGGTTGCAGGCTAGGTCCCTGGCTGGGGGCGTGTGAGAGGCAACCAACCGATCCATGTTTCTCTTCCTCTCTTTCTCCCTCCCTTCTCCTTTCTCTAAAAATCAATAAAAATCTTTCAAAGAAAAAAAAATTGAAAGCCAAGAGACATGACTGCATTTGCACCAAACCAAAGAAGTGAGTCTTACGAGCTGTACCTATTTGTACTCCCGAGGCCTCGAGCGTCACACTGCCATTTGACCTCTATTGCAGGCACTGGCGTGCGGCTCCAACTTGATCATGAGCTCTGAGAGGGTGGGGCCTGACCTCAGGTTTCCCTGTGTCTCCCCCAACAGGGCCAAGCCTGGGGCCTTGGGCATAGTAGGTATTACATCAGTGTCTGACAGGCTCACTTGGAAGCAGCTTGAATTAAATTAAGGCCAAATGTCACAGAAATGTGTGCCTTCACTTCATTAGATTAGGTCAGTCCACAGCCACATTCTTGGGGCAGCACCAGAGATATGCCTTAGGCTTCCCTTGTGTGTACATCAGCCTGTTTGGCCTGGCTGACCCGCAAACTCGTTCAGACCGGCATGTGTAGTGATGGAAGGCTGGGCAGCTTCGGGTCAAGACACTGAGTCCGTCATACCCAAAAGGCAAGGAGGCCGCTGTGGGTAGGCAGCAGGCTGAAAATCTAGTGGCCTGAATTTCTGTTCTTGGTGCTCATTGACCCTAGTAACCTTGACCAAATCCCCCACTTTTTTTCCTTTTTCCCTTTTTTTCTTGCCTCAGGTGCTGTGTTCTTAAAGCAGGAATGAGCATAGTGGTCCCCACCCTACCTTTTGGAAATCAGAGATTTTCAGAACAAAAAGGTTCCCCAGCCCCATTTCTCACTTTATTAACATGCAAACTGAGGCACAGGTATAATTATAATCCAGGTTTCCCGGCTCCTTGAATAATTCTCCACAGCTCTTCAAACCTCCCTACAGATGCCCCTGGTCAGAGCCACAGTGTGAGATGGTGCGGGTGCCCGTGGCTGTGAGATTGGGTGTGGAAAGTAAGACAGAGAGCACCCAGGGCTCTCCTTGGTGGCATCCACCCACTGCGTCCAACGAGCTAACAACGTCACAGGCACCTGTCCAGTTCCCTGTACTGACGTCCCCGCTGGTCCTTTCCTCTCCTCTCCTCCTCTGGCCAGAGGAAGGGCATGATTCCGTACTGACCACTCCCCTCAGCAGACTGTTGGCCGGAACCCAGCCTCTCCTGGGTTTTGACCCACACTCTCATTTTCAGCTCTCCTCCTGCTATAGAGGCAGATCTTAACATCCACGGGAGGGCCCCAGAAGTGAAGGAGCCTGGGCTCCTTGTTAATGGGGTATCCAGGTCTTGGCTACTAATACAATCCCCTCCGACCCCCACGACCCCTCCTGAGCTCACCCAGAATCTGGAGGAGTCAGGAGATGAGACGTGCTTAAAAGGGGTTAAGCTTGGTACTGAAGCCAGGGGGCAAAATGTGACAGAGAATTAAACCAATTCAAATAAATATTTCCAATCCTTTCAAATAAAAATTCCTGATTTTTCATGTTGGATTATGAGAAAGTTTCAGATGAAAAGAGGCAGAAATGGAGCCAGAATGCCATCCCACAAAGCCAACAGCAACGGTTGTGGACTGCGTTGCTCCGTTCCAGACAACCACAGCCCACCCCCACCCGTTTGCCGGTGCTGCCGATGGCCAAGGGCAAACAGGTCGACGGGCACTGGAGCAGCACTAACACCCCGTCGCACAGTCCTCGCCAAGCGGCAAGGCCTGACCAAACGGACAGGAACTGGGAGGATGAATTCTGTCAGCGTTCTAAATTTTCTTAGGACGATTAAGAAATCATTCTGAAGCTCATATGCAGAAGCAGACTCTATATCATTGATTCTTTTAGTCCTAATGCATCCCCCACTGGAAACAGTACCTAGCTACCTATGGGCTTTTTGACTCTCTGTGAAGAATCACTGCATGACGAGGTACAACCCTGTGAGTGTGGAAATAGGCAGTTTGACTCTTATGTAGCAGCTGCTTGTGGTTCATTGGCATTTTATTTGCAGGTGACCTCAGCAGATAATAAAATGGTCATCATTTATTAGGCCAGACACAATGCTAGGCCTTTAAACACTTTACTCAATACATACAGTTACCCTGCATTGCTATTATTTTTCCATTTTACAGATGAGAAAACTAATGATGGCTTAGGAGAACTGGGAAAACCTGACCAAAGACCACACAATCAGGAAGCAGCAAGGCTGGAATTCAACCTAAGCCTGGTTTCTCCACCCTATCAGAATACATGCTCTGAGCCTGTCCACAGAATCCTTTCCATCCTGAGCATTATAAAGTCAAGCAGAGGGAGTACGACAGGAAAGGGAAGCAGGATGGTTATAAACTTTTGTGTCTGTAATTCTATCCACTGAATTGATCTAGATCCCTGAGTACTTCCCAAGGCCAATATTGATGATCATGGTGTTGTCCAGTTATCTCCTGGTCAATGGCTTCCAAAATCAGTTCCTCATCATTTTGGGGATCAGTTGAGGCTTTTTTTTTTTTTTTTTGAGATTGTCCTTAGGAGCAAGAGGGAGGCCAAGGTGGAAGTTGACAGGGCAGGATTATAGACCCAAATCTTCCCTTGAACTCAGCCAGTTTCATCAGTGTTACATACTGAAGTTAAAAGAATTGCTCTTGGAGAAAAAAAAAAGTTGGAAATCCTAGCTCTTCGGCCAGTTTGAAAACCACTGCTGTGGCCTAAAGTCGTCTACAGCACATGGGTCCTCAAAGGCCCCAGGCCAGCCCTGAGCACCCGAGGGTGTTCATAATAACCCATGGATGGCCCAGGGAGCTGCTCCCATGCCCGTGCCCGCCACCACTGCTACTCATCTGGATGACAGCACCGACCCTGAACTTCAGGGAAAGCGAGACACTGCTGGTGGTACAGAAATGCATATTAATATTGCAAGGGTTTCAGGAGTCGATATTACCTGGCACAGCAGCTGCCGTGGAATCTGTAGAAGTACAGGAACGGAAAGTCCAGGATGCCGAGGAGATCACCTGAGGGGCACAGCAAGGGAGAACATAGTGGCCCACCTGCCCGCAGCCCCCAGCAGCCCCACAAACGCGAGGTGAGGGTCTTGAGCACAGCAGCCCTCTGAGCTGCTCTGCACTGAATTCACACTGGCACCCCTAGGTTTCTATGTTACAGGCATTTTCTTATAATAATAACAGTGTGAAGATAATAATGCCCATTTAGTGAGAGTCTGCCTTGGGCAGGGCCCAATGCTAAAAGCTTTATGTACATTATCTCTCTTTCCATCCTTATAACTCTGTGAAGTTTTGTTTCCTGCCTTTTCACTGGAGCTCAAGAAGTTAAGAGATTAGCCTAATACGACACAATTCTTGACTGATGGAGCCACAGTGTGAGCCTGTCACTTGCAGCCCTCGGGTCTGTCCTCTTTGCCAAGGTGGCCATCCCTCCAAGGGCAGAGCACAGGACCCGAAAAAAGGCTTGTCTTCAAAAAGTTCTTCTATTCTTTTCTGCCTTATGGCTAAAAAAAGATTGTGAAAGCATGCCTCTGACATCTTTTTTTCCCCCCCATTTTTGTGTTTAATTACTGCACAAACGGTGCAGGGCCAGACTGACCGTGCACACTCGTTTAAGGTCCAAAGGGTACATTTATTTCTAGTGAAGTAAGTTCATTCTTTTAGTTCCACTTGGTGCAAGAGGAAATAATCACACATATTGGCTGCTTCCCTCTGTGGAATTTGAACTTGGTCACAAACAAGAAGTCAGGAGATTAAAAAAGCAGAAAGCCTTCCAAAAATGTCCAGAGAAAAGGAATTAAGCATTTCCACAGCAGATAACTTAATCCTTCCAAATCTGGACTTTCTGAGGCCGAGAGGAGCCAGGCTGTCCAGGCCCCCAGCCTGGGTCTGGCTCTCGGTTCTGGACGGACTGGAGCAAGAGGGGATGTGTCTTCTGATTGTTCACAGCGTGTGAGGTGTGCAGTGGGATGTATAGATAGTATTTCCTTTGTCACTACTCTTATTGATCAAGAGTTTTGGGACAAAAGACACATGGCCTGCTGTACTTCCTCAGAGACCTAAAGGATTGCAAATGACTCAGCCATCTAGTATTGGGAAGGAAAGTTCTGAATTCCATTCCTCTGGAAGGTTGGGTTATTTTTTTAATCACGACTATTGTTTTGTCCCTTATATGCATATGTGCGTGTGTTAACCAAAAACAAGAGGGTCTCATGGGATCTGGTTTTCATGCACCACGACAAGAGGCTGAGTTCTTGTCCTCTTTCTGCCACAACTGCACTGAGTACCTTTGTTGTCTGCTAGGGACCTGTGTTGGTGGAGGGACTTTGGAAATGGCATCGTCGGGCTCAGATATCTCACGCATGAAGACCACCATCTGAAGCCCCCTTCCCCACAGAAGTGACAGCTGAGGCCCCCCTGGGCACCCCGGTCCTAGAGGGAGGGCAGAGCCCCCTGCTCAGGTGGTGGAAGGGATGCCAGTGGAGGATTTGTTTGGTCCCTGCGGTAGCAGTTGGTTCCCGGCCCTTTCCCAGTTCCCTCTCAGTGAGAGACACTGTGGCACGGTCCGTGTGATCACGAGGCACGGGCAGAGAGGGAAATGAAGTGAACGCAGGACCTTGAGATTCCTGGGGCACTGCCTCTTCAGCACCCAGCTTTTGTCAGGAGGTGAACTAGACTCACGGTGCATTGGCGACCTTTCCAGCCCTGCCCAGGCTGCAGGGAGAGGTCAGAGGTAGACAGGGAGAAGGATAAAAAAAAAAAAATCACCAACCTAGGGAATTCATCAGTTAGATTAAAACCCTCACCAAAATCCTGACCATCGATTCTGTAAATTATTGAGAGAATAGCTCACTCTCTGAGCCATTGCTAAAACCACCACACATTTCTCACATGGCACTGAGCTGACTTCATGCCTGTCTTTTCTTCTGAAACTATCAAGTCCTTAAGAGAGAGTCCAGCAACTCTCTCTTAACTCATCACTTGCACCCACTGGGTTGGGACCAGTCCTGACACACAGGAATCACTACTGAACTGAGAATGTCCACTTGTTTCCTTTGGAGAGAATGTCCTAAACACCCTCCAGTTGAATATGCTGGTCCTCAATTTCAAACTGACCCAAATGCCTGACCCCTTCAGCCTGCCTCCTCTTTTACCAAAGCAGCGCTCTTAGCCAGACAGGGTGCATTCCAACCTCTAAACACCCAAGGTTAACGACTGTACTACAAATAGCCCTGAAGCTGTTGTAGTGTGTGGCTGGCTGACCCCAACCACATAAAGACTAGATCCAGGAGCCTTAAAAATTTGTAAAGATGCTAAAACAACAACAACATCCCTGTACCATCTAGGGTAGAATGCACAATTTAAGCACAAATTGGGCGGCTCAAGAGTCATAACCATGTTTTGTGGCATCAACATTCAGCTGATGCCAAAGTCCGGGCTGAGCCTCCAATTCCCATGCTCCACAGCTAAAATTCTGCTGGGTCTCTGAGTGAGGGAGTGAATCCCATTTTTTCCAAGATGACAGAGCATGAAATCGCCACAGCGAGAGTGTGGCACAATCCTTCCTACCGCATTCAAGCGTAAGTGATATCTGCACATCGAGAAAATTTCCTCTCACCACAATTAGCCCTCAGAACTGGCAGGAAAATGGAGGGTCCATTCCAAGAAGGGATTAGTGCTGCTCGCGTTATCTCACACATGAGCAATAGACATACCAGGTACCAAGGTCATTTCTGGGTCAGATTCCTGTGGTTCTCCCAGCTTTTCATGTGCCTTGCAATTCTCTCTCTTGACCACCACAGATGAGGGGCCCCATACAGATACGAAATGCAAACTTCCACACACAAGGGGGGTATTTCTCTTCCTTATTACTGCTTAAAACAGTCCTGGGGAAAGGAAAGTTCCCAGATCCTTGGAGACTCTGCATGAGGTTGAAAGATTAGAGGGGGAGGTTGATTCCACCAAAGGAGAAAAACCCGGTGGCTGAGCAGAAAAAGTGGCAGGGGCTGCACCTAGGACATGAGGGACTGTCATCAACCTGAGCCCTAACATCACGTCCCAGTGCATCCCAAAGGTTGTAGCCTAAGCCACATCTCCTGCACCTACAAAAAAGCATATCTTTCTAGTCATGCATGAGCAAGTGAGAAAGGCAGCTAAGTCAAAAGTGCTACTGAGTGACCAGGATCCAAGCACCAGAATAGCTAAAGTAAGACTGACAACAACAAATGTTGGTAAAGATATGGAGCGACTAAAACTCTCATACATTCCTGGGTGGGAGTATAAGAGCACTTTAGGAAACTGGCATTTCTTTAAAAGTTATAAATACATCTTACTTTAAGGCCCAGAAATTCTACTCCTGGGTATTTACCCAAGAGGCAAAACATTCGAAGGGGGGATTCAAAAGAACTGTAATTATCTTCTGGACGGTGGGCCCCTATACTGCAGGCTTTCCCCGGTAGGTGAGTGTTGTAGGAACCCAGCTGTGTCAGTGTGCCAGCTGGTGTTTTTGTGAGAGGCTGCATTCTGCTTCAGTAAAATTTTTTGTTTTTGAAGATTCTTTCAGCGTGTCTGCTCATTTCATGACAGGTGATTTAGGAGCACACCTGCCCATGCCACACTGAGTGTTCAACAGTTTTTGACAGTGACAGAAACCTGCATAACCTCCATTCACCCCATCACACCCTAAGTGACTTTTGTTTTTGTTTCCCTGGATGAAAAAGATCCTCAAAGCAAAATGTTTTGTCGCTGTGGAAAAGGTAAAACAAAAATGGTAGAAGAACTAAAAGACATTAAATTGAAAAGTTCAAAAACTGTTTTGAGCAGTGAAAAAAAGCCTCAACAGGTGTAATGCATCAAATGCAGAGTACTTTGAAGGTCGTATGTTCATACAGTGGCACACTCCTCAGCAATAAAAGGGAATAGATAAGTGATACACACAACAACCTGGATGAATCTCTGAACACCATGAATGAAAGAGCCGCACATGATGAAACACTTCCTATGAGGCTCTGCAATGGACAGAACTTCTCTATAGTAACAGAAATCAGATCAGTAGCAGCTTTTGGTGTCGGGTGAGCAGAGAAGGACTAACAAGCGGTATGAGGCAGTCTTTGTAGTGACAAAAATGCTCTATGTCTTGATGGGGTATGAGTTACACAGGTATGAGGCCTATCCATAAAGTATCCAGCCACATACTATGAAAAAGAGACATTTATTGAAGAAGATACAAGATACAAGAAACATTGTCCAAAGGACAATGATGCCTCAGTCCTCTTCAAAGTAGGCACCTTGGGACCTCACACAGTTCTCTCAGTCACCATCCACTATCCTGTCGTATTTTCCTGAATCTCATCAATGGTCTGAAATCTCTTCCCTTTCAAAGGTGATTTTAGTTTTGGGAAGAGCCAAAAGTCACAAGGCACCAAATCTGGGCTGTAGCGGGGCTGAGTCACCCGGGTGATTTGATGTTTGCCAAAAATCTCTGCACGAGACATGATGCATGAGTGGGCATGTTGTCGAGATAAAGCTGCCAATCACCAGTGGCTTTCTGAATCATCTGAATAGTTTCCACAGAGGAATATTCAAGCTTAACACAAAATTTGATACATATTCATTGCTCTACTCATTCAGTCATTTTGAATGTGACAGCCACACAGTGTACACACTCACTCAATGGTGTCTACTGCCCCCACTGACTAGTACAGTGAAGTCATCATTGTTCACACATGCGCATTTCTGTCCACTGTCCTTGGCTGCCAGGTTACATCAATGTCGTGCAAACCATTCTTGTCATATTAACAATGGCTGGACTTTTTCTGGACAGGCCTGTACATTTTAGTCAAAATTGGTCAAGCTGTACATTTAAGATATGTGCATTTCATATATATAAATTATATCTCAATTTTAAAGTGTTTTAAAGGTACTACAAAATAAGTAAGATGCAAGTAAAAAATAAGAGGTGAGAATAAACAAAAAACAATCAAGTCTCATTTTAAAATGTCAGAAATTATTAACAGATCCTTCGAAAAGAGACTGTACCCAGGGTCCCTGACTCTTTCTGTGTCTTAACTGCTGCAGGTGAGGACAGTGAGGAAGGCGCTCTCCCTGAGTCACACTCAGGCCTGGCAGTGGACAGTCTAGGTAGAAAGGACAGTGAGCAGAAGTGGGAAGAAATAAAGTGCTGTTCTGTCTTCAAATGGGGAGGTGACCCCTGCATCCAATGAGAAAGTAAACAAATGGGCAGGAACTAGGGCTGCCCAATCCTGGCAGTCCTTGAATACTTCTGTAGAAAGAAAATTTTCTTCAACTGTTAAGTTTGCTTAAACTTCACAGTCAATGGTATCCAGCTAGGAGAAAATAATACTGGGACCCATCAAAGAGTGCAGGACAATTAACCTGAGTTTATAAAGCTCAGAAAACTGATCTCCCAGGGGTATTCTAGATTGTGAGCTTCCGTCAATGTGCATATCAAATCCCTACCTTAATCCCAAGCTGCGTTAGCTACCCGCTCTCACAAACATAAGTGCTTTGCTGTGCCCGAATGCTTTTTGAAGCGCTGGGCCTCTGCCTGCAGCTGCACAGACTGGGTCCTGTGAGACCTCCAAGAGCAGGACCACGACTGCCTTGGTGGCCCAGGGGCTTCCTGGAAGTTAAAGCTGATCAAAACCTGGACAGACTCCTTCACAACAGCCAAGACATGGAAACGACCTAAATGCCCACTGATGGGTGAATGGATAAAGAAAATGGGGTATATACACAACGGAATATTTAGCATAAAAAAAGGAAATCCTGCCATTTGTGACGATATGGATGGACCTTGAGGGAGTTATGGTAAACGAATTGAGTCAGACAGAGGAAAACGAATACTGTATGATCTCACTTACATGTGAATCTAACACAAAAACAAAGCGAAGACCTGAACTCACAGGTACGGAGAACAGGCTGGTGATTGCTGGGGGGGGGGGGGGGGGCCGGGTGGGTGAAACAGGTGAAGGTAGTCAAAGGTACAAACTTCCAGTTACAAGGTAAGTAAGAGTGGGGATGTCAAGTACAGCATGGTGACTATGAGTTAACAATACTGTATCATATATTTGAAAGTTGCTAAGAAAGAGTTCCCATAAGAAAAAATACAGTAGCTATGTGTGGTGATGGATATTAATTAGCTAAACTTGTTATGATCATTTCACAATATATACATATATCAAATCATTATGTTGTACACTTGAAACAAATACAATGTTAAATATCAATTATATTTCTTTTTTTTTTTAAAGCAGGGACAGTCTCTTTTTATGTGGATTTCACAAGTAGATCCCGCCTCTAGTCAAGATCGTTTTGTTATTCAGCAGTCCTCATCCGAGCAAGCGTTCAATGGACCCGCCCCACCTCCACCAAGGTTTCCAGTCAGTGATGCTCCTTTGACAGAAGCTGACAGGAGAAGCAGACACACCCGTTTAAGACACCTTGACACACAATTTGTATAAGTTCTAGGAACCAACGATCATGATCATGGCGACCACACACAGAGCACCTTTATAAAAACAGGGCCTTTGGGGTACTTAACACACCTAATACGAGGTGTGGAGCCCTCATGGGTTAGATACTGAACTTGGTGCTGGTCTGGATGGAAATCTCCGGACTCTTCTGGAAGGCTGACACTGGTTTGTACATAACTCCACCTGCCTTTCCCCAGGGCCCATGCCAGAGCTCTGCTATGATGGTTACCGAGGCTCACTGGACTTCGAGGGGGAGCCTCGGCAACAGACAGCAAGGGAGGCCAAGGTCGCCTCTGCCACTGACAGAAAAGTCGCAGCCAGGCCCATAGGCCCAGCAAAACCCTTCTCAGGAGCTACTTCCTGTCTCTGGCCTCTTCAAAGCTACCACCCCAACTACCCAAAAACTGCAACAAACCAAAGCCCCAGCCAGAAGTCCTTCCAGGACACACCACACCTCTCTCTGATGAACCGCACAGATTTTACAACTCCCGGAGCTGCCCACCAGAGACCTGCCCTCAACCATTCACCATGTGACGTGAGCAAAGCCTGCAAGGGAAGGCTCGAGAAATGAACATCTGATGTCTAATACCCATTCTTTTCTTAACTTAAAATATGATTGGGAGAAAAATTAATCCTTGCTAATATCTTTTTCAGGTAGAAATGAGTTCCAAACAGGTTCTCAAATAAAAGAGATTTCCTTTTCTTATCCCCTATACAATTTTTTGTTGAGATATAATTCATATACTATAAAGTTCACCCTTTCAAAGTCTACAATTCGGTGGTTGTTAGTGTGTTCACAGGGTTGTACAACTGTCACTACCACCTAATTCCAGAACAACTGCCTCACCTCCAGAAGAAACCACAGCCTATTTTAAATTGCTCTTCAGCCCAGGCCACTCTATAACTTCAGTCTGCTGACTGCTTGGTGTTCAGGGAGTAACTAGGTGCTCAGGGTATTGTAGCTTTGACCTAAAAGTTTAGCAATTACTCAAGGTCAAATGTGGGAATGTTGCCTAAAATGTATAAATGATTCCTAGCAGTCTTCATGCTTGGCCACTGGTGAACACCATGCCCTTCTAACCAAGAGAATTTCCAGAAAGAAATTTAGGGACATCAGACAAAAATATTCCCTCACTCAAGAGACTTTATAACAAGTGTAAGATCACTGAAAAGGAAGCATTTAAAAAGAAAAACCTGGACAGAGGGTCGGGAGACAGACCTAAACTCCAGTCTCCCTCTGCCGCTCACCTCCTCCGTATTATCTCAGTCAGCTCTCATAATTCCTTTGGGTTTCACTTCCTCATTGGTGGAATGTGGTGGCGCCCTAGGTAATCAATCACCAAGGTTCCCTTCAGTTCCAATAATCATGAGTGTAACCAATGAACAGGCATAACCTGTTAGGTGAAAGGCAGAGTGATTTTTTTAAGGTGAAAATGATTCGCCAAACCCACTAGAAGTCACTCAGAGAATAAATGAACATGTCAACCAAGGAGAACCAGCAAACAGAACTTTCCAAAGGCCTTTGACTAAAACGCATTTCAATGGGGAGGATGCCTAGTAGGCTCTTTAAGAATCTGTCAGGTGGCAAACTCCTGGCCACATGAAGGAGTGACGCGAGGCATGATTACGGGCAGGCAACTGGCAGTCCGGGCAAGCAGAAGCTGTTCAGGGATAACTCCATGGTTTTGTATCATTTCTTCTTTTACAACACAAATGAGCGACAGGCTTTCACCAAATGGTCATGGAGAGGGCACTCGACAGCAAGCGTCGTAGTTGTGAGACAACGCCCAGCTGTGGGAGTGGGCAGAAATGAGCAGATGTGCGTCGGTGTGGGCACGTGTGGAATGATGCGTTGAGAGAAAAGTCATTCTAATTATCCTTACACAGCATGGGTTCTATTTTGTCACGTACGATCTCGAAACAGTATCTGAGTCACTACCAGCAATTCCCTAAGGATACCAGTCCGAATAGGGTGAAATGGCTCAGAACACAAACGGAACACTGTCATTGCTTGCGGGCACAGTATGAGAGCTCGAAGGAGCCTTGACTCTAATCCAGTCCACTTTTTTCACTTTACAGATAAGGGAACTGAGTCCCTGAGGGGCTGGGAAAGGCCTTACCATAGCAAATGGTCAATAAACATTAGTTTAAGGAGGGTGGCCAATAAAACATGTATTTTTAGCCATACCACACACAGATATTATTGCTTTGTCTTTGGCATTGACTTCAAAACCTTTCAAAGTAAAAAAAAAATCACAATGGAATAGAGTTATTGTAGGCAATCCCTGAATCTGAAAAACAAGTATGCAGTAATTAATGCAGCAACAAAGTAGAGGAAAGTTTTAACGCTTGACTTTAATCTGGAATTATGAAGATGAGAGGACAACAGGCCCTGGGTGGCTCAGGTGGTTAGAGCATCGCCATCCGCCACGGCTATGGCTTCGGTCTCCACCAGGGCACACACAAAAGCAACAAACGAAGGCATAAGTAAGTGGAACAACAAATCGCTGTTTCTCCCTCCCTCTAAAACAAAGTTAATGAATAAAAAAGATGAGATGATAACATATGACCAAAGATGGTAAAAGGATGTTAATTAGAAATAAGGTAAATTTGAACTTTTTCACCAAATCCTTTGGTATTACAACCGAAAAGCCATTCTGGATGCTTAAGGAAGAGACCAGAAGAGGACACACAAGCCCTAGTTTACCCGGCAGTTATGAAACCTGTCCGCACATTTGAGATTGCGCCAGATGAAATTGTACAGAATGAAGCTCAAGAAAGGATAAAAATAAATCCACGGGCAGTAACTCCCTCGTAGGTTATTAAGAACAGTCTCAAGTATGTGGGCTATTTCTAACCCTTGAGCTTGACATCCTGGAAGGCGACCACATTCTCTTACAAATTGCCCCTGAGATAAAACCAGGCCAGGGCACTGCACTGAATGGGTGATGTAAAACAAACGGATAAAATAATGTTTACCTGTGGGATGAGATGCCAACGCCAGAAGCACCGCACTACAAGAGAAAGAGCAGAGTAGTGAGGAAAGCTTCCCTGGCACTGAGAAAGCAACATGCATTTCCAACCATTCTACTTGGAAATATGAAATTGGCCTACAAGCACATTACCTGCACTGAATGGTCTCATTCTGCCTGAACCCAGCTCTTCAGTGAGAGAATGAGTCTCTTGAAATGCTTTAGGTCTGGGCCAGCGGGTTGAATCTACCCTGTGACGGACTAAGGACCCATACCCCACTCTGAGGGTCAGCCGTGCCACCAATTATCGTCAAACTCGCCTAATCTACAAACAGTATTTGCAAGCTAAACATAGCAAACTCTAAATTACAAACAGGCTGCACTCTAAAAGCTAGCTGTTGGACATGTGCCGAGTCTCTTTTTGCCACAAAATTAACTGCATAGAAGGCAGGTGAAATGTCCAAGAAGGTAGCCCACAAAGCGATCCATCCCATCCACCATGTGCCTGAAAACCACCTGGGCTGGTTGGCAATTGATGCCAAAAAGGATGAAAAAGAGGAGGAGTTTTCCTCGCATGTGGGCCCCCTTTGTCCTTGGCACCCTCCCAGCTTCCTCCCTGAAAGCTCCTCCCATCCCCCAGTGCCTGTGCGGCGCCTTCGCGGGGCCTGCGCCCACCGCCCACACTCTCTGCCACCACTATCCCAGGCCATCCAGGCAGCGGACCTAGTTAGAGGTTAGGAATGAAACTCCTCCTCCAATTCTGATACAACAGGCATATCCTGTCAGATAAACAGCATACCTCGTGATTCATTCATTTAGCAAATATTGATTGAGTATCTAGTCAGTGCCAGGCACTGTTCTAATTTGAAGATACAGCAGTGAACAAAGTAGAAGACATTCCTACGCTCATGGGAAATAAAATATGAAGAAATAGTCTCCACAGGCTAAATTCCAATACATTGTTCTGTTTTACAAATTCTACCCCAGAGAGAACACCTGTCTACTTCCCTTTGACATACACACATGCATATTCCATCTGCAAAGTAAGGAGGTGGGGTATGAATAGAGAACATTACGGTAATTTTCTGTTTAATGGATGAGGAGAAATTAGTGTCTGTTCATATTAAAAAGAAAAAGTGCTAGCTATACAGCCCATAATATTTATTTCTCATAAATTTTTAGACCATTCCATTTATTTTCAGCCCCATATACAACTCCCTTCTTCATTCCTTCCTTCATCCTTTCCCCCCCTACCATGGGCCCTAGACCTCTACCTATAAGAGAAACAGCAGAGTCAGAACAGGGAGCAAGTACATCCTCAAGAAAACAAGAGTATGTACCAAAGTAGAGAACCATCCAACTACTTGGCTTTCTCAAAAGAAATGAAGAGATCGAACCAGCTCTTGGCCCTGGTGGGCACAGCTGCCCCACAGGTCTGAGCCGCCACAGACTGGGGGAGATGTCCTCAACGTCCAGTGCCACGGTAAACTGAATAGGGTCCTTTCTGATTCACACACCTTCCTCACTTGTGCTGAAAGAAAACTTGGCAATAGAATCATGGCTTTAGCCACGGGCTCAGCCACGGAGCCTCGAGCACCAGGCTCACCCGGGGCGAAGGAGCTGGGAGAGGGGAGGACAGGGGAACTAGCAGAGGGTCACACGGGCTCGCTTTTCCATCCCCTTGCCCCTCTGCTGCTCAGGTTGGGTGTAAGTGCTGTGGAGAAAAAGAACTGCCTAACGGGGTCTCTTACAAAGGCAGCTGGTGGATCTGGGCAGAGTGGAACTAATGATTGTTTCCCACTGAGCACAAAAGCCTCCCTCACCGATGCTTGGGGTGAAACCTGTTTTCAAAAAGGTGTTTTACTAAATACTAAGATATTTATGAGCTTTATCTGCAAATGGAGAATACAGCTAATGCTGAGTGTTTAAAGCTGAGCAACTTCCTCTAGAAGTGTGTTGAAAGCCACCTCCCTGACCTTGAGCTCCGTACTGAAGGTCAGGTCGCTGCATTGGGCCACCAAGGGCTCCCAGCAGCCACGCCCACCTGCTTGCTGCTGCTCGGTGAGGCCACAGTGCAGGTGGAGACTGCTGAGGCCCAGGACCACTCCCCCACTGTTCCAGTTACTGGGCCGACCCCCATTCTTTGCTTGATTTGAGGCAAGGGTGCAAATGGAAATCCATACACCACATTTCAATGTTATAAATCAAGTCCCAAACTTTGTCCCACCTGAACAAGTATACCCTCGCAACAATCTATAGGGCCAGATTAAAACATAGAACTCCTGGCGTCCTTGAATCTTCCTGTCAGAATGTGGTGCCATGGGGGGATCCAGCCTCCGGCTCCTGACTCCCAGGACACCCCCTCCCACTTCAGGTGGCATCCTGCACCCGAGGGACTCACACACTGCACGGGGACACCACACCTGCAAGTGTACCCTCCACCCACATCCACCCCCCCACCATGAATAGCCTTTCCTCGGGCAGCACTGGGCCTAGGAATGAGTTGGGAAGACAGACCCAGGGAGGCCTTGGAATTGAGCTCTGGACGATTTGAGCAGGGAATTCCAGGGCCCAGATGACAACGGAGGTTCTGCAAAAAAAAATGTTCCCTTAGCCTTACCAACTCCATACCCCCAGAGGAGAGACACGGGAAGACACGCTTCTGGAGTGAGGGGCTGGGCAGAGGCCCTCTTTCTGGTCAGAGGGCAGGACCGCTATTGCATGCCCCCAGCTCCTGGTCACCTCCCAAATTGCTTAGTTTGCCTCCCTGGCAGGCACATTGCTTCAGAACCCCCAAATCAAAATATTACTAGAAAGTAAAAATATTGGCTCTAGAAATATATGACTTACTCTTTGAAAATGCAAATTATACCTTACCTGAATATGTAGTTTAAGTACTGCTGGTCAATGTCACTAGGGAATAAGAAGAAAAGGATAACACATCAAATAATAGAAGTGTTTTACATACACAAAGTAGTCATTATCTTGTGTCACTAAAGTATATCTATGTGTAAGTCACCACATTTATAAATTATCAATAAATAGTACGAAGAGCACTTCATACTCGAAACTAATGTTCCTGGCTCATGTTAAGAAAACATGTGCTAGTTTAGTGCTGTCACAGACATTTGCACTTGTGGCTGGTTATTCCTTGTGTTCATTGGCCATTTTGAAGGAGGGTCAACTACCTGGAACCACCAAACCAGCTTCTGAGGCTGCTATATTTGACAAACAAAACACAAGACAGCCAAATAAATCAGAATTTCAAATAAAGAATAGTGTTTCAGTATAAGTATGCTCCAAATATTATCTGGTAGGTACTCACACTAAAAAAATATTCATTACCAGTACTTATCAGAAATTCAAATTTAACTGGGTATCCTGTGTTTTATCTGGCAACTGTACTGGCTTTTTGCTGAAAAATCTCTTTATTAAAAAAGCAAAAGTTGCTCTAGGGACCCACAGCCACACAACCTCAGAGCATGCAACTGCTCCCAGGAGCCACCCGCTCCAGGCCTTCTGTCTCAGCCGTCTGGAGGACCTGGGACCCAGAAGGCAGGTGACCGGAGCAGGGGCTCTGGCCTCACCACTCCAGCCCAAACCAGGCCTGAGTTCTCTTGTCCATTTACACTCATGAAGGCCGGTCCAGTGACCGTGGGCAATAGAGGGCTCCTGTTACCCCAGGACAGAGTTACTGTCTGGGGACACTTGTGCATCTAAAGCAAGTCAAGTTAGATACGGGCTAAGCCAGAGGAAGTAAACTGGGGCCCAAGGCCGCTGGTCAGGTCATTTTTGTAAAACTCTCACCTAGATGGCTGCCTCTGAAGGAAGAGGACAGACTTCCCTGCTCTTTGCAGACAGCAGCACAGTTCAGGTCGCGGTGGACCCGGCCTGAATGGCTCAAAAACAAGTGACAGGGCTTTGGGGGTTGAGCCTGCTGCCCCCACGGCAATCCAGACTTGCAGGGTGTCTGGCTGAACAGCAGCAGCTGCTCCTGCCACCTTGTTTCTTACCCCTTTCCTTAACCAGGTAACAACTGATCCAACTCTGAAAGCTTACCTTAATGCATTGGGTTTCTGAGACTTTTGTAGTATCTTATAAGCCCCTGAAAATGAAGCAACACGTGTTACTGGCACAGGGCATTCTGTGTACGGGGCTGCCTACAATTCCAGGGAAGCACAGAATCCACGTGGAAAAAAAGCCCCTCTTGCCTCGGAGGGCCCCCCACAGCCAACAGGGGGCAACGAAAATTCGGAGGGTTTCAAGGATGCAAACTGGATGGTCCTGGTGGTCATGCCGTTCAGTACGGAGAGAGTGCTGGGCAGGAGGGCTCATGACCAACAGAAGGATGCGATGAACAGGAGGCTGCTGGCTGCCTCTGCATGGAGTGCAGGGGAAAGGAACCGCACTGGGTTTCTGAACAGTGCGTTACAAGGTCAGGGCACTGCTCCCCCCCCAAGGACATGAGACAAGAAACACTAAACATGTGATTTGAAATACAGTCAGATGGTCCTTTTATTTCACCCAGCTACATTTTTTTAATGTTTTTGTGCACTGATGAGAGTGTCTTTGGCACAAACTTCTGGCTCTCTTCCCACCATTTTTAGAGAAGACCAACCAGCATCCCACAAGTGGACTTGAGCAAGGAGAACTGGAGCCATGGTAATAAGCTCATTAACATTTGTCACGAAACAGGGGAGACTATATTGGAAATGGAATGTTCGAGGAAAACTCCAAAACAGGAAAATCAAAATGGAGAATTTCCATTTAATTTTAACCTCAACACCCTATATTTAATCTTTCAATTGTCTAACATCACTAAAAAGTGTATACACAATAAGATCTAAACAATAAGCCTTAATTATTTAAGTAAGCATTCTTTTAAAACTTACCCATGCAGAATAAGTGAATTACAGCCCAGAAATATCCATCTGGATCAAACTGTAACACAGAATTTTTTTTTTAAAAAAATGGCTTAGACACCAACAAACAGACACCAGTGTGGCAATCGGAAGCCCTAACTGTCAATGCACCTTGCCAAGCAGAGGTGCCAGGATGAGACTTTCGGGGCCTTGAGCGAGTCCCCCCTCGTTTCTCATCCTGGTGTTCTGGCATCTTCCCCACAAGCTCCTGCTTCCTGCACCTGTTCCTTATTCCCCACGCAGCCCCAACCTGAGGTCTCTAAAAGGCTGATCTGATGATGTCACCTATTGCTGAAGATCATTCAACAGTCCCCCAGTGGCTCCAGGATAAAATCCACTCATGACACCCCAGGATGTCTATGACAAGCCCTTGTCAACCCCTCCAGTGCTGCTGACTGTCCCCCTCTCCTGAGGAAGAGAACTTTCACTTCCCCAAGCACGAAGGGCCCCCTCGCCACCGCTCAGCCCCTAGTCATCTTCCCTTCCTTGTCTCCACAGGAGTTTGTCTCAGCCCACACACTCCATTTTCCTGATTGCCCATCTCTGTCTCCACCGTGCCCCCTGCTTGACTGTAAATCCCAGGAAGCCAGGAATTGGCAGAGGAGCACACACATACATCGTAGGTGCTCAGTGAAGTTCAGTCCCAGCCTGCTTAGGGCGCTGCCCACACCTGCTTTCTTCTCCTGGCTAATTCTTCCTCACCCTTCAGCATGTAGGTCTAGGAGGCAGAGCCTGGCTCTAGCATCAGGAAGATCTGGGTTAAACTCTAAAATCCCACTTCTTCGTGGGCTGGTGACCTTTTGTGGGCTGCCTTATTCTGTAGCTGTGAAATGGAGACAATAATAATCCCTCGTGGCATTGCTGTGAGGTTTCGAACAAGGCCCATAAAGCACCGGCACAGAGTCTGGCACGCAGCAGCCTCCCTGTAACTGTGAGCTTTCCCATTTCCCGAGTCCCCGCGTCACTGGAGGGGCCTCGCAGCACCCCATACCTCCCGGGACAGAGCCCTGGGGTCCTCCTCCCCTTTGCTCTGACTAAACTCTGACTTCTGTCTGGATGAAGACAATTCTTCTTTGTGCCCCCAGAGCCTGGCTCAGTGCCTGACGCTTAATGGAGACTTTTAATAAATGGTGGGGGGGGGGCGGGGGAGAAAAGAAAACGACCCAGCAATGAAATGAGGGTGGGTCCTCAGTGCCTAATAAAGAAAAACTGGATGACAAAGTGAAAATTGCCATGCAGACGACCCCCTTAGGCTCAGAACAACAACAAAAAAATCAATGATTCTGAATGCGTAAGTCTGGGGCAACTTGGGCGTGGGCTTGCGGGTTCCCCAAGAACATACAGAGGGGACACTGCTTCCACCAGAGCCCCCAGAGGCCAGAGCTCTGCAGGCCACACTGCCCCAGCCCTGAGGAGAAGGTAAGAACCTGTGGAAAAGCGTTGGCTTGGCGAACAGGTATCCCACCTGAAAGTGCTAAATGTCTTTGCATAGGCCCGGATTATTCTGATTCCAAAAGGAAGGACTAGGAAATTCTGCTCACACACACAAGTTTCAGGTAGTAAAAGATACTTGCAAGATAGCATGTGCTCACCTGACCTTACCTGGGCGTCGTTAAAAGGAAGGCATCCGGCAGCGGCCAGGAGGAAGAGGGCACTGTGGAAGGGGAAATTAGACAAGCAACTTCAGTTTTCAACCTCAAAGAATTTCTCAGAGTGCGGAGGCTGAAATTCATCGACTGGAGCTTAACTGAGGCAATGCCCAGCCGGACAAAGCCCAGCCCTCCCACCCCCTGTTCACCCTCTGAGCGCCCCCCCCCCCACGCTTCTGCAGCTTCCATCGTGAGCTCCACCACTCGCCCAGAGACAGGTGTGTGAGGGACCTTCGAGAAACCAAAGCTGACTCACCCTAGAAAACCAGAGTGCCAGTGAAACACATAATAAAAGGAGGTTTTTAAAAATGGCACACCCCATTCTATTTCTATTGAACTGTACCGTCTTAGAAGACCCCCCTTCCTTTAAAAAAATATCTTATTGATTGTGATTTTACAGTTGTTCCAATTTTCCCTCCCCTGAACCAGCTCCTATAAGAAATATAAAATTATTAATAAAACATTTTGTATTTTTAAAAACTACAGATCCGCAAAAATACTCCACTGGAAAATTGGGATTCCAGACTACAGTAATGCCACTTACAAAAAAGAAAACACCACGAAAAGCACATTAAAATCTTTTGCGTGTCACCTTAACCAAATGCTCAAACGTTTGTCTCCAGTAATAGGGCAGACCTCCATCGTGTGCCTCTTGACAAGATGTGCTGAGACGGGCACAGCATCACTCATGTGGTGTCCTGCCAAATACGCCGAACCTGAGCTTGATCACAAGGAAACACTAAGACAAACCCAAGTTTGGGGACAGTCCACAGAACAGTGGGCTTACCCTCTTCAAAAACACAAAGGCAGCTGACTCCGCCAAGATGGAGGCGTAGGTGGAAGCACTGTGCCTTCTCGCATAACCAAGTTTAAAAACAACAAAGTTTTAGCAACAAAAATGCAGCCAAACCAAAGAAAATTGAACTACACAGAAGTCTGACAACAACGGACCCTTCAGCCAAACCAGTAAGAGGGGCAGAGCCAGCAGCAGAACAGGATCGGGCAGGAAAGATCCATCAGACCTACCTGGGAGCGTGACCCAGGTATGCCAGCAGCCATGGGCAGATCCCAGGTGTGGAGAAGCGGGTGGACCCACTGAGGGATGATCGCGGTCACACATTTGCGTGCAGATAAACTGGTGAAGGAGCAGGCAGTGAGACGGACCACGCAGGCCCCAGCAGCAGGAAGCAGCAGAGGGAACCGCCATTGTCCCTCTCTGACCCTGCCCCCACATACAGCATCACAAACCAGCAACCCGGGTGGCCCCACCCTGGTGAACACCTAAGGCTCCACTCCTCATACGTAATAGGCACAAACAGATCAAAACATGGCTCAAGAAAAACTCAGAGCCCCAGAGCTGATAAATCTAAGCAATGCAGAAATAGCCAAACTTTCAGATGCACAGTTCAAAACACTGGTGATCAGGATGCTCACAGAACTGGTTGATTTTAGTCACAAATTAGAGGAACATATGAAGGCTAAACTAATTGAAATGAATGGAAATGCACAGGAAAGCAATAGTAATGGAAAGGAAACTGGGACTCAAATCAAAGGAGTGGACCAGAAGGAGGAAAAAAGTGACCAAACAGAAAAGGATGGAGAAACAAGAATTCAAAAAAAATGAGGAGAGGCTTAGGAGCCTCCAGGACATCTTTAAACGTTCCAACATCCGAATTATAGGGGTACCAGAAGGGGAAGAGGAACAGCCACGAGTGGAAAACTTATTTGAACAAATAATAAAGGAGAATTTCCCCAATCTGGCAAAGGCAATAGACTTCTAGGAAATCCAGAAAGCTCAGTGAGTCCCAAAGAAGTTGGACCCAAGAAGGAACACACCAAGGTACATCATCCTTACATTAGCCAAGATTAAAATGAAGGAGAGAATCCTAGAAGCAGCAAGACATAAGGGGACAGTCACCTACAAAGGAGTTCCCATCAGACTGTCAACTGATTTCTCAAAAGAGACCTTACAGGCAAGAAGGGGCTGGAAAGAAGTATTCCAAGTCATGAAATCCAAAGACCTACAACCAAGATTGCTCTATCCAGCAAAACTTTCATTTAGAATGGAAGGACAGATAAAGTGCTTCTCAGATAAGATCAAATACAAGGAGTTCATCATCACCAAGCCCTTATTATATGAAATGTTAAAGGGACTTATCTAAGGAAAAGATGAACAGTGAAAGGACAGCAAACTCACAGTTATTAAGAATCACACCTAAAACAAAAGCAAACTAAGAGGACAGCTAGATCAGGAGCAGAACCATAGAAATGAAGATCACATGGAGGGTTAGCAACAGGGGAGTGGGAGAAGGAGAAGGGGGGAGAAGGTACAGAAAATAAGTAGCATAGGTGGTAGGTAGAAAATAGATGGGGGGGAGGGCAAGAATAGTATGGGAAATATAGAATCCAAAGAACTTGAGACACGTGGTCATAAACTAAAGGGGGGAATGGTGGGGAAGGGGGTGTGCAGGGTGGAGGGGAATGAAGGGGGGAAATAGAACAACTATAATGGCATAATTAATAAAATATATTTTTAAAAAAACACAAAGGCAGTGAAAGGTGGTACAAGGCGGAGGAACTGTTCTGGAATACAAGAGACACAACATCTCTGCGGGAAGAGATCACCATAAAAACCATCAGGAGAAGTGGCTGATTTGGAATGCAAACTCAGTATTAGATAATTGTGTTGTACAAGATCATCATTTTCTAAATTTAATAATTGCATCGTTTAGACAAGAGATGGTTATTTTTAGGAGACACACTTCGAAATATTTAGGGGACGGGTCACAATCTCTGCAACTTATCCTCAAATGGTTCAGAAAAAAATTAACATGAATTATATATATTTTCTTATTTATTTTATGTGATATATGTGTATATATATGAAGACAGAAATGCAAAATGCAAATGCAAAAAATATTGTCACTGGGTGAAAGTCAGTTAAAGGTATATGAGAGTTCCTTGTAATATTCTTGCAACTTTTCCATAGGTTTAAACTTTGTTCCCAAATAAAAGGCTTCACTGGAAAAGTCTCTTATCCACACACTGAAACGCTCTCGGGTGGAATGCGCCGGTGCCTGCGGTTTGCTGCAGTGAGGCGGCACTGGCTGAAGGCGTAAGTCAAAAACCGTTGAAGCTGGTGAGGAGTATACACGTCATCCTCATCCTAGTCTGACTACTTGTATATATATTTAGAAATTTCCATAATAAAATTTTAATTCTTGCACAAAAAAGTAACATGGCCAACCACAGATACTTTAAGAAAGCTACCCTCACTCTCTGGAAAGCTAATTTAGAGCTATCTTTTGGAATAATCATTGGCTCTTCTAGGTTTCGTAGAGCAAAAGATCTCGCTCTCTAGCTTTTCCCATTCTCTCCTCATGGGGCAGCACCGGAAACCACAAAACCCTAATTATGACACACTCTCTCATCCTGCTTCTATTTTACAACGCAACAAAACATGTAACGTTGGGCCTCTTCACTGCTGACTGTTCCATTCGCCAGCAAACAGCAAAGGATCAAAGGCATGAACAAAAGCAGAGAATATACCAATTTTACTTTTAGAGGACTTCGTCATACGATATCTCATACCAACATATATTCTAAATACAAATAGAATTCCATACCTTATATGTACACATATGTGTAATACACAACAGAGGCAAAGGGTGGGATGAGTGGAGGGACCTTGTCGGGAAGGGTTTCTGGGACTGCACGGGAGCAGGACACCTCCTCTTCCACAGGCAATGGGCATTCGCTAACGCCCCTCAAACAGGCTACCCTTAGGGATTGAGGGGAGATGAGAACAGCCTGACACGAGACAGGTTTCGTACCAAACTTGGCCTTGAGCAATACCTGATTATGCCAAGTATTACTGGGCTTTAATGACTGTCTCTTTAAAAAAATTTTTTTTATTGATTGATTCCCTAAAGACAGAGAGGGAAGTGGGAGGGAGGAAAGAGAGAAACATTAATTTATTGCTCCACCCACTTACTCATTCACTGGCTGCTTCTTGCATGTGCCCTGACTGGGGATCGAACCCACAACCTTGGCATATTGGGACAACACTCTGACCAACTAAGCTACCTGGCCAGGGCCTACCTCTCTTTAATACCTGCTAATCTTTTAAACAAGAAGATAAGTTCTGATGTTTCTTTTATTTTTTAAAGTAACATGCCGTAATAAAGTAAAAGAGAGAGACTAAAAGAAAGCCCAGAAATATCTGAATCAAAAAGTCCTAAATTCATATATCAAAGCATCTCTGTTGGTTTTCTATCTAGGACTGAGCTTCCTCGATCCTGCAGAGGAGGTAAGAAGCAGTCAGAGAGCAGGGCGCTCAGGGTGGGCTCAGCACACCTGGGCACTGGGACCTGCCGCAGAGTCCGGCCAAGGAAACTGACGCAGGGAGGGTGATGACACCTGTCCACCGTCTCTGTGCTGTGGCCCAGGGCCCAGCTCGGACCCCTGGACTCACAGGCCGGTGGTTTCGCACCATGGAATTCTCAAACACCCAACGAACTACAAACATTATTTTTCAATGTTTAAGTCATTACCATGTTTTTCATTTTCATTCTCCATCAAAATTGTGCAACTCCTAGTAACATGTTGGGCAGCAAAGGCTGAAATCTAGCATGGTCTGCGTTTGCCTTAGGAACACCACGTTTCCCGAAAGGAGAGTCAATTTTAGAATTAGACACAAAATTGGGAAATATGAGTATTTATAATAAATTTCTCTGTCAACTCTCAAGCATAAACCTTCAATAGTTTATCACTAAAGTTAAAATTCTGGTTAAATCTTGTATTTATAGGTTTGTGGGTTTTTTTTTAAAAACTTACCTACAGATCCTTGCAGGAGATGTTTTCTGCGTGAAAATAAAGAGATATAATTAGTCTTTTAAAACATTTTATTTCTTAAAAGAAAATAGCTAGATTAAGTTTACTGGGGGCTTCACAGCCTGTTGCACTTCAGTGTTTGTCAAGGCCTTTTCTTCTTGGACTCAGTGAAGAATGAATGACTCAGAGGTCCAGAGCTGAGTCACCTCGGCAACGTGCCCGGGGTGTGCAGTTCTGCCACCTCCCCGTTCGAATTGTGTTTACTCGTGAAAAACCGAAACGACGCCAGGCTGAGCCTTCCCGTATCTTACACACCTCGGAGGGCAGAGAGGGAAATCGGTGTGGCCTGCGCACGATCAGAAATTAAACTCGTGTTCAACTTCTATTCCACTCTGTCTCTTTAAATTTTCCCTTCGTTAATCCAGCTCTGACTCTCAGCGGTGCTATAAATTCTCTGGTATGATGTGTGAATTAAGAAACAGGAAAAAAGAAGGGACATTTGACTCCACCCCTACAGAGAAGGGGAAAAAAAGAGCAGATTGGGGAAATCTCAGCTCGGTACTGCAAGTCCCCTGGAACGAAGGGATTCTAATGCAGATTCTACCGGATCACCTCCTTTCCGAAGTGAGTCATGTTGAAGGAATTAGTCATTGCACTCAGGAAGAAAGTTCTAGCAGAAGGAAGCATGGATTATGTTCTGTATTTGATAGGGGAAATGGTCCAGTAGGATAACAGATTAATTCTGAACATTGCAGAAGGGTTACTTTGCTGGTTGAGGACAGACTACAGTTTTTTGACTCCAGTTTAGATGAAGTGTGAAGTATGAGCATATTGTTTAAAAGGGAAGAATTAACAAGAGAAGCATGTAGTTTGCCATGAAGGAGATCTTAAGTCTCCGTGCATTAGTAAGTAACCCAGCCTGCGCTTTCTAGTTAGCAGATTCTGTCTGTACAAGCGGAGGCTTGCATCTTCAGGTCCTTCCATCCTCATCAGGACCCTGCCCCACTGGAGCACAGAGGACATGCCAACCTTGACTACACTGCCCCCTGGTGGGCACACCTATCTCTTTGGTACAGAAAGGAGGACCCATGGATAACTGCCCCCATTATGGGAAAACCGTATCACTAAAAGAGTCTGAGCTACATAGAACCAACATCTCAATGGACTGGTACAACAGAGGACGAGAGATGACAGGGATACCCCCAACTCTTGGTCACATGCTCATCCAGCAAACGTTTGGGGGCTTCTGTCACAGGGTAGCACACAAGTCCAGTCGCTGAAAGAGTCCTCCCATTCCACAGAGGAGGGGACCCTTTTTTATTTTAAACCCCTGGGACTAAAGGAGCCCAGAACCTGAGATATACAATAAATTCATGACTTAGCTGCATAACCCCAGGGCTCCAGAAACACCTGGGGTATTCACCTTTTCAGCCCCTTCCGTCCAAAAATCACCCAGTAATAAGTCCTGGCGCTATCTCGGGGCTCTGATTGGGGTCAATATACGCCCCAAAAGTCACACTGCCAAAAATCATGATAAACATGTGACATTCCTCTGGTCAGCTCAGTCTGAGGGCCACTCGCTCTGCGCCGGTGCTGGTCTAAGTGCCCTTCAGGTACCGACTGCCGCTGTCGGTAACTAACAGTCTTGGTTACATGCTACCTGACAACACTGAGCCACTGGGAAACTGGGTCAGCGGCCCAAGGTCAGAGGGTCTGGGGGACCAAGCTCCAGAGCATGACCCTTTCTGAGCCTGTTCTGCCACAGCGCCCCCTGCCGGCCCTGCAGTGACACTGCACCGGCCCCGTCAGGCCTTCATTGGCTGTTTCTGGCTTGGGAGATGATGATCAAGGTTGGGATTAGCAACTGAGAAGCCAGCCTGGAGAAACACATCCATCAGTTCCATTTTGATCCCTTTGCACTTCAGACGCCCGGGAAACAGCCAAGTGAAGAACTGGACGCCAGGAGGCCAGGGATCTGGGCTGAAGGGACAGGTCTAGGGATTCAGGAGTCATCAGTGAACTGATGGTAGCTGGCGTCATGGTTTGGATGAGGCTGTCCAGGCAGAGTGTGGCATGGGAACAAAAGGCTCCCGAGACAAGGCCCTAGGAGACCCTGAAGGGCAGATGAAGGAACAAAGGGTGGGCAGCTATGAGCAAAAAGCCAGAGACTCAGGGAGAAACCATCAGGGACAGGGACATGCAGATCGATTATCAAGAGAAGGCTGTAGGCTGACGAACGGTGCGAAAGACCAACAGAGTTGCATAAATGGAGCCACCAGTGACTGCAGCCGGAGCAATTTCAGGTTAGTGGCGGCGGCAGAAGCAGGAGTGGCTGCTGGGGAGAGGGATGTGACCATGTGGGCAGCATGGAGGCTGGCCCTCTGTTAGCGGTGTGGCAGGGAAGGGCAGGATGACAGGAGGTGGAGGGTGTGTGGGCAAAGCAGCGTGCTGGCTGTCCTTTGGGATCTGGGTTCTGTAACACAGCGTCCCAGAGCTGGTTGATGTGAGTGGGCATCCAGGGCCTGCCCCACCCATGGGGTACTGAGAGCACTGAGCGTGTTTACGGGCCAAGGAAAACAAGCCGGCAGACAGGGAGAGGTTAAGGATCTGCGGAAGAGGAGGTAAGGAACCCATGGAGCTGCTTCCAAGTAGCCGGCAGGGATGACAGAGGGCGCACAGGTGTGCAGAGAGGCCTGGGCCAGGGCAAGGACTCCTCCCTCTCCTGTACACCTGTAGGAAGTGTGCTGCCCAGTGGCCGGCCAGCCTCTCCAGTTTAAAAGTTCCAAGATTTTGATATGAAATCATTCCAAACCGGTAGGTGTTAGAAAAAAGGAACTCCTGAAAGAAGAACCATATTAAAACCACCTCTAATACTGTTAATAAATGCAGCTAACGTGTACAGAGAGAGCACCTACTATGTGCCAGAAACTGTTGGCAGCACTTAACATGTGCGCTGTGGTACGACCTCCCCACAACTCTGTGTTGGGTGAGGTCACTACCCCTCTTCAGATGGAGGCACGGAGGTGAAAAAACTTGCTCCAGCCGCTCTGAGGCTGACCTGGGCCTGGGAAGAAAAGGCAGCCCCTGTCCCCAGGGTGGGCCGATGCCCCCAGCACCCTCTGTGAAGCTCTGACGTTGGCGTCCATGTGGCGCTGGGATGAGCTTGGGGTGGGAACCACCAGGCCCACAGTCACCGTGAAAATGGTGGTCCCAGAAATGAACCACCACTGTCAGGCGGTCCTGACGAGAAACAGATGTCAGGAAAAGGTAGACACTAATTTGAGCCATGAAAAAAAAAAGGCATGTTTTTGAAATTTAAAGCAAGGGAAGTGAAACTAGCATCCTACGTTATCATTTACCTCTTTCCGAAAACAATTCTGGTGCCCACAGATAATAACTTCGGCTGCATTATGCAAAGTGAGGAACACAGGAATGGCCTGAAAGGAAACAGAACAATAAGCCTGAAAATATTTTCTTTGATCTCATAATTACAGATTTCTTGACTTCTGCTTAAAAAATAAAGCTCTGTGGAGATTTTGGGCATTCACACATGTAACCCTCCCAGGCAACAACGTTTCTGCATGGACTGGTGTCCTTGGTTGCAGTGTTCTGCTTGGCAGGGCGGACGTACAGGCTCTCTTCCTACGGCATTCTCATCAGTGCGCATTTATTAAGCACCTGCCCTGTGACAAGCACTGTGCCATGTGCAGTGGACATCCCATGAACAAGATGAATGCATGGTAGGGAAACTGTCCCTATCGCCATAAGAGCTCTGTGACAGGGTGCACAGAAAGGCACACCTCGCCCAGTGAGGGGAGAGCAAGCCTTCTCGGAGTAAGTGAAGTCCAAAGTCTAACCAAGAACTGAATGATGAACTAGAGCCAGCCGAACAAAACAGAGCGAGTGGCAAGCGGAGGAACACTCTTGACGGCCCTGAAGAGAGCGTGAGCCTGGCTCCTATAGAACTGGGGGAGTTGAGTGGGGTGGAACATAATGTGGGAGGGAGAAGTTGGAGGGAAGAAGGTAGACAGGTAATCACCGCCAAATCAGGGAATCAGGATGTGCCCAGGGCTGTAGGAGCAGCTGAAGTTTGGAACCAGACAGTGACATGATTCGAGCTGTGTGTTTAGAGGACAAGAGGCAGAGACAGTTGCAAAACCAAAGGGTATGGTCGACTGAGCCCCTCTCCTCCCCAAATGGCCACATCTTAATCCGTGAACCTGTGAATGCCACCTCCCTTGGTAAAAAGGGATCTTTGCAAATGTAATTCAGTTGAGAATCTTGAGGTGGGGAATTTACCCTGGGTTGTATGGGCAGGCCCTAAAGGCAAACACATGCATTTATAAGAGAAAGGTAGAGATTTGAGGCCCAGAGAGGAGGAGGTGATGTGACCACAGAGGCCGAGATGGGAGCAATGAAGCCACAAATCAAGAAAGGCCATATTCTCCCCTAGAACCTCTGGAGAGGCCCTGCTGACACACCAGGATTTCAGCCCAGTGACATTGATTTGGGGCTTCCTCTGGCCACTGGGAGAGAACAAATCTCTGTTGTTTTGGGACACCCAGATTACCACCACTGAGCTAATTTGTTACAACAGCCACAGGAAACTAAGATGAGGAATGGCAAGATGGCGGCCTGAACTTGGTGGTAGTGGTGAAGATGAAGAAGACGTTTAGGAAACTGAACTGAGGTTAATATTTGAATGTCTGGAATTAACTTTGTCCCGAAAAACAAAAAGGAAGGGAAATATACTTTAAAAAGTACCGTATTTTTTGGACGATAAGATGCACATTTCCCCCTCCAAATTGAAAGGAATAATGGTTGTTAATATTGCTGTCGAGTTCTGTTTACATTTAATTGGTGCACTATTATGTTGTTTGTGGTATTATATATTTTACCACATTTTTTTTGCTTCAAAATTTTTTCCTATTCTAAAACCTAGGTGCATCTTATGGTTCGAAAAATACAGTAACACTCCAGTTATCGAGACACACAGAGTACCCACTGCACACTGATGACAGCTGGACTGTTTGCTAACAGTTAGTTGCAGTCTCTCCCAATTTGATAACCTGGACAAGGTGAGGGGAGGAAGTAAGGGGAATGGAGTTTTGTTATTGTCTTTGCTGTTGGTGGTGAAGATTTTCCTAGAAGGCATAAAAGGTAAATAACATGTGTGGGTTTCAGCATCAGACTGAGCTTCAGGCCCCGGCTCTACCATCTGCTAATGCAACAGGGCACTTACCAAACTTAGCCTTCTCCTCTTGAAGGGTGAGGATGTCAGTCCCTCTGATCAGGAGCTACTGGGAGGAACCACTGGCACAACCTAGGTGAAGGGCCTAGCGAGTGGTTCGGGCGCACTGCTCAGGAGGCTGTCTGGACCAGCTGGAACCAAGCCGGCCCTCAGCACCTCCACGGGACCCTGAACTGGGACACTGTCCCAGCTTAGAGCACCTGCTTAAAGTCCATGCTACTTGCCTACTTCCAGATTAACTTAGTCTTTATTTTTTGAAGGATATACTGAGTTGGCCAAAAAGTTTGTTTAGTTTTTCCATAAAATAAAAGACACACTGTTCATTTCCACCAACAACTATTGATTTGGATATTTTGAGTATGTTGGTTATCTCCCACGTGGTATAATGTTGATTGTTCTCAATTAATGTCTTGATTTGATCGCTAAAAAAACTGCAGCTGGTTCACCAGACTGTGGAGCATGGTCCAGCAAGAAATCTCCAGCATGAAACTTCGCAAACCATTTTTGACAAATTCAATTAGTCACAGCACCTTCTCCATACACTGCACGGATCTTTTTTTGCGTTTCATTTGTGTTTTTAACTTTCTTGAAATAACAAAGCATAATATGCAAAAATGTTGCATCTTTTCTTCCATCTTCAATTGTAAAATGGCTGCACAAAAATTCACCAGTTTTGGTAATTTTTTTTTAGATGCACACTGATCAGACAGCTGTCACAATACAGTCTAACCAAATTGTCTCAAATGAAGTTAAAGACCACTAAGCACTACTAGAGCCATTTTATGGGAAAAAAGTCAAATGAACTTTTTGGCCAATTCACTATTTTTACCCTGTTTTTAAAACTTAACTTCATAACTTCATAGTGCTGCCCTATTTTAGCATCTTGTTCTTTCACTGTTTTCTTTCTTTTTGAGTTCTTGCCTTACATTTTCCTTGCCTTTTTAATGTCTTCTATTCTTATTTTATCTTTCATTAAAAATTCAATTCAAACTGCTTTTTCCTGTCAAAATCATACTTTATTTCAATTATTTTCTCTTTTTATTTGTCTTTTGTGCTTACTTTTAGTCCTTTTAAAATTTTACTTTTTGAGTTATTTTTATAAGTTTCAAAATTTTAAACAGGTTATTTTGTTTGTTTGTTTTGTTTTGGTAACTGGCTTTATCCACTAGACCCATGTTTGGCAAACCTTGGCCTGGTCTCCTAGTCCTTGGCTCGAGAAGATAGCAAAGAAAATCTTGGACAGGTTTATCACATGGCACAGGAGAGTAAACATAAAAGGGCAACCTAGATCTAGCTTTATTTATTTATGTATTTATATATTTATTTATAGTCCTCACCCAAGGATATGTTTATTGATTTTAGAGAGCGCTGGCAGGAGAGAGAGAAACATGCATGTGAGGGAGAGACATTGACTGGTTGCTTCCCATACACGCCCTGACCGAGGATCCAACCCACAACCCAGGCATGTGCCCTGACCAGGGATTGAACCCACCACCTTTCTGGTGTACAGACAGTGCTCCAACCAGCTGAGCACTCGGCCAGAGCTGGATCTTATTTATTTTAAATTAAAGACTTATTTTAAATACTTTGCCTCCCGGACTATAAAAGCACTAATGAGACCAGATTTAGGACTGAGATTATGGAATCCTGGACCCTAAATCTAGACCTCAAGGGGGCTTAATTTCCTCAGTTTTATAAACTATGGACAGGTTTCTTAATCTCCCTAGGTCCTACTCTGATTAGATACAGATTCTGGGAAGGAATCTATCAACACACATAAAATAGATTTTAAAGTACACTAATAATAGTTACCAATAATGTGGTAGGTACCGGGACAATTCTTTTCATTGCATTGTCTTATTTGAACCTCCTCCCAACAACTGCATTAGTGGGTGATATTACCTTGAGTTACAGGCAAGGGACCTGAATATTAGATCGAGTAACTTGCTGAAGTGCTCACAGCAAGTTCAGGGACAGACCCGTGACTCCAGTCCAGGCCTGTCTAACTGCAAAGTCCACATTCCCAGCCTCAATGTTTTAACACCCGAATTATGTCAAACCCTAGTTTAAACTTACCGGACCTACAGCTATCCAAAGCCCAGTACGACTGGTGTGTTCCAAATCCTGCCAGTCCGCTTCCTCCAGGAACGCAACTGATATATGATCTCAAATGCTTGAACACAGAATAAACTCTGACATTTTTTAAAGGAATATATTCCATTTCTACTTAAAAAAATTAAACGTGAATTCCTTGAGCCATTTTTTTTCTAGTTGAGGAACAGTAATTGTACAATTGACTGTCTCAGCCCCCACAGAGATCTATCAGGAACAATGCTAAGGCGGTGTGCGAATTTAATTACTGGTTGTTTCCATGGTCTCTAACTCTGGGCACCAGCCTCAGGCTGATCTCTACAGACAGTTCAGGGACCTGCTAGAGACTAATTTCTTGAGAAAACCAGCCCTATACTCTCATTATGGAATGAGGGTCAGCAGGACTTATTTTGTCAAATCTGACAAAAACTCTGAGAAATGATAGCAGCAACAATAATAGCTAAGATATAGTGAATGCATATTATGTGCCAGACACTGTTCTAACTGCTTTTACATATTTAACCTTCATAATACCTCTGTGAAGATAATACTGTTACATCACCGCCACACAGATGAGAAAATAAAGGGACATATTCTGGATCTTTTTGTTACCTGCCTCTTAATATTTGGACGATCTAGATACTTGTTTCCTGCTGAAGAGAACAGAAAACTAAGTGCATCTTCCACATTGTCAAGACTCTCGGAATGGCCTCAACAACAAAAGGTCCTAGTCTCTTTCACTGGGGAAAATGGCCCAAGATCAACTACCACAGAGCCACCATTTTTGACACAAACTGTAATCGACCAAATTAAACTGCACTGCAGGTCAACTCGTTTGCAGTTACTTAAGAGCACAATTTGCAACTAATTGAGAGTCTACTTGCTTAAAATTCAATATTTCATCCATGTACCATTGGAATTTTTTCTCCCACACTGAGGAGACATTGGTAACTGTTACTTTAAAATGTTTATTTTCCCCATGCTTCCCAGAGTGGAGTTCTGAAGACGTGATTGTTATTTGTTCCGGTGTTAGACTGACTTAGAACAGTTTGCTGTGGACAAGCATGGCCCTCCTCACCGGCACGGCCTTGGGTC